CCTCCATCTTCACTGCAGTCCAAGCTACCCTCACTGCTCCCTTGGAGCACCGTAACTTCTTCTAACTGGTCTGGGTTTCTCCTCTTTTTACTCTGTGAAACCCATTCTTACAAATCGCCTCTCAAAGCCCTAAATCTGGACCTTGTTATCTCAAACCTTCCAGTTGGTTTCTACTGGTATAAGAATGAAATCCAACTTCTTCCAAAGCTCCACAATGTACATTGCTTCCACAGCTCTTTGGGACCAGCTCATGCTGATGTCTCTGACCCATCTGTTCACCTGGACTTTTCTTTTCCCTTTGGGACATCTGTACAACCAGTTCCTTTCCTCAGATGCTTTCCCTCACATTTAAATGTAAGGTTCTACCTGCCATTCAGAAACAAGCTTTCTTAAAGAGGCTTTTTCTGGCCATGCAGTCTAAAGGCACCACCTCGGCACTGCCATCACACCTGTTTTGATTTCTTCATCATTCTTTTCAAAGTTTGAGTACACTACTTTGTAAAGATTTATTTACTTCCTTGCTGTCTCCTCCACATAAATGTGAGCATCATAAGGGGAGAGATCTTGTCTGCATTGTTGCTGGCCATATTCCCGGTACCTACAGCAGTGCTCGGCATACAGAAAGCACCTAACAAATAAATGGCAAATGAATATACCAACTGATCACTTTAAAATGCCTGTTTTCCATATACTTTCTGATTGAGGCCTTCTGTTCTTTTCTGCTGGAAGAAAATGAAAAAAGGGGCTTTCATGCAATTTTAAAATTTGACTTCAGAATTAGATGATCGGCACTTTAAAACCAGCTCTTTTACTAGAAAGTAATTCTTTATACTGCAGTTACTTTTTTAAAAATTTTGGAAACAACACAGCTATAGGCTTGCAAAGGTTCAAATGAGGATCTAAAGACATTAAAAAAACTAACCTGTTGTTTATGTGGTTTGAATATGTTGCCCAAAATTCATTTGCTGCAAACTTACTCCCCAAATTCATGTATGAATGACTCGTATTTGGAAGTGGGGCTCTTAGGAAGTAATTAAGATGGGTAATTAAATCATGAGGTAGAACCCCCATGATGTTGTTAGTAGCTTTCAAACAACAGGAAGTGAGAACTGAGCTAGCAGGCTTGCTGTGCTTACCATGTGATGCCCTCCTACATTATAACACAGTAAGAAGGCGCTGACCCCATGCCAATTCTATGATGTTAGACTTTCTAGCATCCAGAACCGTGAGATAATAAACTTCTATATAAACTATAGCACCAGGTCTCAGGAGTTTTCTTACAGTAACATTAAATAGACAAGGATATTTATACAAATATGATCAGCACTTCAAAAATAGGTACCTAACATATAGGTGAAGAAAACAGTTTTATTTTGACATTTGAATAGTACTTTCAGCAATAATTACATGTAAAATTTATAAAATCTTTACCTTTTTATAACTGAGTATTCTTTGACGTATGTGCTCAATTCTTTCACTGTAAATGGAACTGAATTTATTCTGAAGGTCAGCAGGGATCACTTCATTTAGAGAATTAAGACTGGCACAGTTTTGAACAAAATGATCATCACTTTTAGCCAGGGCTTCAAGAATCTATAGTGATAAACGCACACAAAACGAAATGAAATAAACTTCAAAAGTAGATACATAAAATTTTCAAAAGTTTACCCTACAGTGTGGCTTTCCTGTGTTGGTTTTTTCTTTTTTTTTTTTTTTCTTAGAAGCTCCCCAGGATTTCCATGTTCAGTGAGACACTGTCAGTGAAGTGATTTGACACGTCTGTCTGGAATCTCACGTTTCACCTTCTGCTGACTACAAAAACCTTCCCGGGAAGGCAAGGGGACTTCAAAGGCTCCCTGCTGCTTAAATCAGTACACTCTGATGTGAGAACACATCTCCGTTTTACTCAGAGTCACTCGGAGCATTATTTTTCTCAGCTGGGTAGTAGAACAAAAGAGCTAAGGAAATGCAATAGTATCTTTACTTGCAACTGCGAGCCAAACACCTATTATGCAATTAAGAAATTCTTGCTGAAGGGATGAATAAATGAAAGTTACTTTGGTAAAGAGTACTTTGACACTTATGCAATGTCTGAGCTCTAGCTAGCTGATAAAAGCATCAGACAGTATCCATAGGATGTTTTCAACTAGCAAATATTCTTGCATATTTGAATCAGCTATAAATCTTTGTGTGAGAGAACATTAGATCATTAGATCACTGAGAATTTCTAACGAATTGAAAATTATGCACTATATTAAGTTGCAGTGTTCATAGTTGTTCAGAGATGACAGTGATGAATTATACTTTTAAGCAATATTTTTATAATACTATGTAAGGTGAAATGCATCAGTGTTATATTTTCTTCAGCTCTTTTACCACCTCCATTTCTCTGTTAAGCTGAGAAGGGAGTTTTTGTACAAAAAAGCTGCCTTTACCCTTAGCAGTGAGGTCCTGGCTACACTTCTTAGCTGTCTGACTTTCTTCGTGTTTAAGATGGAAATGATATCTACAGAACTAGTTTATATAGTTACTGTGTAGAGAATAATGCATGTAATTTTAAAAACTCGAAGTTGCTGGAAAATAAGATAAAATGATTATAGTAACCTGGCCATGGACTCTTACATGGATACTATTCATTGTATAACATAGTTGAAAAGAGATGTCATTTTGAAAATATGTACTTTGAATCAATAGTGGCAAAATGAAGAGGTATTTTAAGTTGATTTTCAGAATATAATATGAAAAAGGATAAATAACTATTTTTAAAATAGTTCATTTGGATTTCTATATTACTTTCTCACATTACCTTTTTTAAAAAAATACATTGAACAAATGGTAACTATCTCAACCAAAGGTTATTTGAAACAATAATTAAAGAAATAAAGGCATGGGATCTCTATCTCATTTTCTTACTTATAATATCTGAATTCGCTCACAGTGATATATAAGTAGAATGAAATACTAATGCCCAGACCTATATATGGCACAGTAACAGTCTGACTTATCTTTTAATCCACTGAATATAAACTACCTTCTTCTCTCCCCACCTTGGCTTTCACCTAAGGACCTTATGGTGATATTCTTCAAAATGAGAATTATACAAATGTCTGTGGACTATTCATAAACTCATCTCTAAGCTTCCAGTAATTTTTGACAAAACATTTCAACTATCTTATAGTGTATGTATTTTGTGGCTTCAAGTACTCATCAGAGTATAATGTACATTAAGAAAAAAAATACTTATCCTAAAATCCATCTGAAACATATTCACAATACTTCAACAGATACAACAAACTTAACGCAATGACCTCTTTGTCACATCAACACTTTACTGTTGCGGAGTCCCATTGAAACACTTTGCTCAAAACAGATAAATAAAAGGAAGACTGTGCACATACTTAAAAATGGGAGAAAAGAAAGGAAGTTGAATGAAGTCTCAGCTGCAACACGTACAGCCATTCCTTTTTTAAAAGTGGGAGGGTGGCAAGGCTCAATTGCTTTATAAATAAACAACCAAGAACTGTGTTGTCACAGGGTCGCTCATACCTTGGCAGTTAAGCTGAAGAACCCTTTGGGCTCAATCATCTTCTCCACCACATTGCACTTGATCCCAGCCGTGCTGTCGTACTCGTACACCACCCCGTACTCCAGGTGGACATTGTCCACCGTCAGGCTCACGTGCTCCTTCTTCCCATCAATGATGGCCATGGTGTTGAACTTGTCAATCACCTCTGGAATACAGGCAATTTTAAGTCAGCAAATTCAGGAAGGGTTGGTTCATTTCCTCAAATCATTCTGAGTCTCTAAATAATTTTTGAAAACTTCTTTAAAGCATAACTCAATTTGATGTGCTAAATGAAGCATGGATTCTTGTTAATAGTTTGAAAAACAAAAACAATTTTTCAAAAAAGTGAATGATCAAAATCTTACTATCTTAACATGACCAATATGATCTGTATAACCCACTTTGCTCTGTGGCCCATTTGTAGGTTTATTTATACAAATGCAAGCACTATAGATGTAACTGTATATTTCATCATTGTTAATTAACAGAATGCATGACCTACAATCAAGGTTTCCAAAACCCCCTCAAATATTGGATGAATATTTTCTCAAAGCAGCAGAAAATAGGGCCAGGGATATAGCTCAGCAGCACAATGCCTGCCTGGCAAGTGCAAGGTCCCAAGTTCGATTCCCGGTACCAAAAAAAAAAAAAAAATCCCCGCAAAACACTAAAAATGTGGTCATACGGAAGAAGCAGAAAAGACATGCAGGAATTATTTTCTCCAGCAGAGAAAATCCCTAAAGTTTCCTAAACATCTTGAAGACAGAACTTACTTAGGAAATTTGGCATTGCTCCCTGCACTAAAATTTCTATCTGAAATGTCTGTGTTTTTTAAAGTTTACAATCAGTCAGCTAATGAAAAGCTGACTCATCTCAAGTGGAAACTGTTGGGATACCTAGCAGTAAGTATTAAATAAGGGATAATATTAGTTTATTTAAAACAAAAAAGTCTTACAATGGGACAATAAACCTTAAAAATTATATAGACTAGAATAGTACATCAGTTTACCTTGCAGTGAATAAATCCCAGAATAGGCAGAAATGAATTTCTTTCACATCAATCAATCTACCTTTCAATTTGGCACCAATGCTGATTTATTACAGATGAGGAATAAAACCTCAAGATAAGATTTCTGAGCCTTTTCTTATTTTGAAAAAAAGACTATATATTACCATGACAATTTTACTGCTCAAAGAGGGTGAGACATTTCTGGTATTGCTAAAGGATGACAATATCCAACCGTGCAGCCTTCTAGCAATGTTGGGAAAACAGATTTCCTAGGTACCTCTAATCTGATCAGTGCATACAGAAGTTATACAATAAGAAATATATACTTGGTCGTTGGCCCATGTTCTGGAAAGGAGGCTTCTAAAATCCTTCTAATTCACTGAGCAATAGAGATGACAGAGATGTCTCTTGTTATTCATTCTAAGCTGCTTTCAGGCCTACCTGAGTTTATAAGGATGAGGTGATTCTTGGAGAGCTCCTAAATGGCTTCAAGGTAGGGACTGGTTGTCAGAGAGATCAGCTGTGTGATTGTGCAGTGGAACTTGCGGGATCCCCCTAGTCCTCTGTTCAGTCACCCATAGTCAGAGATAAAGTCACTCTTGTCACATAATGGGCCTCATAAAATCCTCAAAATGACAGGGATGGGAGAGCTTCCAAATTGGAGGGCATATCCGCACGCCAGGAGGAAGGCACACTCCAAACCCACTGGGACAGAGCTCCTGCGCTCAGACACTTCCACACCCTGACTATTGTTTCATCTGGCTGTTCATTTTGTATCCTGTGTACTAGCAAAACCTGTACTTAAAGTCCAGTTGGTCAGAAATACAGGTGAAACCCTGAGGCTTGCAAAAGACATACGAAGTGAAGGCGATCTTGCCAGACGGAACCCTTCACCGTGGGGCCTGTGCCAGCTCCTGGCAGTCAGCGTGAGAACTGAACTGTGCCACGACCAGCTGGTGGCTGCGAGTAGGACGACTGGTTGGGGTGGTTGAAAAACTCTCCACACATACGGTGTGAGAAACATTGTCAGTAATATCTGCTCAAACAGGAGATTAACTGGCTGTACTGGTTTGGAAGAATCCAGTGCTATAATAAAAATTGATAGACACCTATCAATAAAACAAGTGGAAAGGCACCAGGAAAATGCAAGAAAGGACACAAGGACTTCTGTTTAAAAGTCTGAAACAATAACTCAAAGTATTTGTCAAATACAGACGTAATGTAATTGCCTCAGTTGTCCTTGGCAAAGAAGCCATTTGTTGCTGGATTGCTCCACTGGGGGAAAGAAATGACAAGATCTTTATATATTCTCTCTCCTCTCTGTCTCTCTGTTTCCTGTCAGTGTTAGAATACAGGAAAAGTTCCTTAAATCAAGACATCTTTTTAGAGGAACTATGGACCTTCCACACTAGGGCTTCTCAAATTTTAATGAGCATCGAGTCAGATCGTCACACGGGGATTCCGATTGGGCGGCTCCAGAGTGGGGCGGTCTCTGCGCAGCTGTCCTTGGCAGTGACGCCCCCAGGGATGCCGCTTCTGCTGCTCTGTGCGCCGCGCCGGAAATGCAGAGTCCACGCAACGGTCAACTCCACACAAGGAAGCAGCACAGCTTGGGTTGGCATCACCGCTCTGTCACTTAAGTAGTCTGAGCAAGGCCCTCGGACTGTGTAGGCGTCAGGATCTTCTCCCATATAAAAGGGATAGTAACGACCATACCTACTTGATGAAATTTTCTGATTTGATGAATAATGAGATAATCCACATAAACTCCTTAAAATTTCCCTACTAAACACGATCTGGCTATTTCGTGTTAGCTACTAGAAAATGCTACTTATATAGTTGACATGACACCTATTTGGTGATACTAACTTAAGATTTAAAGACATAGCTGGAACACATAAGATCTTTAAGATCTGAAAGCAGACACAGAGAAGGGAACGATACTGTCAGCAAGTGAGAAGAAAAAGAAGGCGCCTACCTTCTACTTTGCAGTCAAAAGCATCCCTTGCCCCTTCTCCAGGGGCTTTGGAGTTCGATTTTTGGAGGTCTTCCTGAGCACTCTCAATGCTGTTATAAACCCACTGTATGGAATCTTGCTGAAAACGAGGGGGAAAGAAACCTCAGAGGAATCAGTGCTTCCTAAGCGCATACCCATCCCATAAACCTGCTTTAGGGTTGGCCATCTTATTTATTCCTCTAACGTGTGTAAAATTAATAAAATTTAACAACATCAACATCAGTAATATCAGGAAATTCAAGGGCTATTTAATAAAATGACTTTTTTTCAAGTTTAAATTTTCTTCCAAGGATATGTTTTACATAAATTTATTTTCCAAAGATGTATTCCAAAAAACTGCCTTGCTGGGGATATAGCTCAGTGGCACAAGTGCCCGCCTGGCAAGCGCAAGGTCCTGAGTTCAATTCCCAGAACCAAAAACAAACAAACAAACAAAAAACTGCCTTGTTTAGATGTCTCAAGTATATCTTAAAACTGATATATTGGGCTGGGGATATAGCTCAGCGGCACAAGTGCCTGCCTGGCAAGTGCAAGGTCCCGAGTTCAATTCCTAGTACCAAAATAAAATAAAATAAAATAAAACTGATATAAATTATGCCTTAAAGTAAGCAAATTGGACAATATTTTGATGAATACATTATCTGTAACTGTACAAATCACTTAAATACCCTCCTAGCAATCACATATATTTTAATATATTTAATGCTGTTTTGAATTAAACCAATATGAAAACTACAAAAACCACTTTCATCTCATTTGTTTCCAAGACATGTAACTGTCCTTTAATTCTTCCATGTTATAAATCATCCTATATTTTAACTGAAACAGCAGTTCCAATCTCCTTTGGAGAATGAACAGAGATGAAATGGCTACCAAATAAATGCCTCAAAGATTGCATTACTTTAGGGTTTATAGTTTTCCCAGAGAAGATGACAAATCCAACTGTGTCACTGAAATGTGACACAATGCGTAGTATCCAGTTTTTCTCTTGTATTAGCTTCCCAATTGTGTTTAATCATTACACTGCCATAAATCATTAAACAATAGTTAAGGAGTGCTGAGTGTAGTATAGCTCAGTGGTAGAGTACGTGCTTGGTATGCACAGGACCTTTACTTTGATCCTCAGCACCAAAAAGAAACAAACAAAAAATGCTTGCTAACTTAATCACCGCAGTGGCCACGAATGTGCCGAATCCAAAGTATGCACAGCTTGTGTTTTCCCTTCCCACAGAACCCTGCGCCTGGCATTGTGACTCAATTTTTCCAAAGAGACATGAGCAAATACCATCCCCTTAGAGGGATTATTGCTGGTAATATTTCTTTCTGAAATCCAGACACCATCCAGAAAGGGAAATTCTGGTAGATACTCAAAAGGGAAACCGTGCACAGGATTCCTGAAGGACAGGCCAATGCACAAAGTAGGATGCCATGAGGAGAGGAACCAGGTACTCGGGCAGCTCCAGAAAAAGCCCTGTCAGCAACTTCACTGGCATCACCATATAGTCAAATAGAGAAAAATACTCACTGCTATTTGAAGCCACCAAGATGTGGGGTGACCTGTTTTGTTGCAATGGATACCTGAGAGAGCATGGTCCTCAGTGAATGTTTCTATCTACTTTATTGCTCTTTTTAATCATCTCATTGATTAACATCCCTCCCAAGGCAGGCAAGGAGAGTGACGAAGGACAAAATGCAAATAGTTCCGTGTGGATACGTACTAAAATTCTGGTGGAAAGGGAAACTAGAAGACTCTTGAAAAATGCAGTCAGTCATGTAGTTCAACAAATATTTATTGAGCTTCTATCAATCAGAGAAACTTAGACTCTTATGTGTAAGTTCCAATTTGCTGTACCATTTTTGACCTTATTGGAAAGCAGAATTGATAAGCAATTTTCATGTAAGTTCACTGTTCTGCAGGACATCAGGCCTACAACAAAACAGCCATTCCTCTTCCTGGTTTGGACACAATGTCGTGTTCTCAAATCCAGAAAAGTACTTTCCATTCACAACACAAAAAATACAAAGTCTCGCCTTCAAGATCCCTTCTTCATTCAGTTGATTACAGGAATGAAATTTTTGTTGCAGTCCATTTCTTGCTTTTTATCATGAGGTAATAAACCCCCACTTATAAACCAGGTTTCTAATTTTATCTTTCTGTTGCACTTAGGCATCAAAGGGTAAGGGTTAAAATTTTAAATATTGGCAAGTACATGTTGATATCTTCTGTTAAAAGCTAAATCCAGTTACTTAAATAAATAGTTTCAAAAAATACAGACTATAAAGCCCACAATTTTTATGTTTTCATAGAAATCTTGTAATGAAGTATATTTATAATCCATATATTCAGATAAATACATCATGATCATTGTATATTCAAATGCAACCACGAGAAACAGTTCAAACCTTTGGATTTCAACTTGGTAATTCTTTCCTCTTATTGAGATAGCATCTCAGTATGTAGTTCAGGACGGCCTTGAGCTCACTATATGGCCCAGGCTGGCCTCAAACCTACAGCGATCCTCCTGCCTTGGCCTCCTGAGTGCTGCAGTTGCAGGCTTACAGCCATGTGCCACCACATCTGGCAGTGTGATAAACTCTTATCAAAGTGAATATGAAAATACCTGAGAGCACTTTTAAACAAGTAGGAATATTGAAACAAAATGCAACCATTTAAACACAATTTTAATTAACTATGTAGGTAGAAGTCATTATGATATTTATAATGTTATGTTTAAATTTGAAATTAGAACCGGAAAAACCACAAACATCTCTGGTGCTATCTTCTCCAGTCTCCTAGGCCTTCTAAGCAAGTTTTCATTAGATCCAGATAAAGTGAACAGCAGCTTACCTTCACTGGACGCCTGTATTTCCTGCAGGCTGTCACGTGCGCGATGACGCTGTCATGTGACTCTTTGCTGACATTGATGCCATTCACTTTGATAATGCACTGTCCGGGGTGAAGGCCAGCTGCTGCAGCCGCGGTGCCTTTAAACACAAATGGGAAACTTTTGCCAAAATAGAATTTCAGGGTAAGATTCATCTTTATTGTATAGAGAACAATGGAAGCAATTTTAAAACACAGTAAAGGTCTAGTTAGTACGTTCCTGATAAAGTGGGGTCTGATAGCATTGTGCTCGCACTTGTTCTGGTTTTTTCAAGTCACCATTCAAATTATGATTAACAGAGTATCTTCCGACCTCCCTAAGAACTAGTGTGAAGGAGTACTGCAAAGTGACCTTTACAATGCTAATCAGCTATTTTCCCTTTCAAATATCTACTCAGTCTAATTTTCTAAATATGCATATATAATAAAAAATGTGAACGCCAAAAACATGCCTTATCTCGCTTTACAAAATCCCTAAATATTACAATGGTACTTCCTTTTTTTAATGCCAAAAATGTAATATGCAAATAAAAATAAATTTTAAAGAAAAAAATCCAGTCAATTCACAACTACAAGCAGACTGATGGTTTCAGAAAAATCAGAGTTTAAGAATCAGAGAATATACGGTGAACAGAGTGAAGCAGACCCTGTCAGTGTCCAGTCATTCGGCTTGGTAGGTACAGTTTTCAAGACCAAGGTGGCATGCCCTGAACAGTGAGCTAAGATTTGTATGGACCTTCCAACTGTTGCTATTAAATAGTCTGACCAAATCTACATTAACAAAGAAGCATTAATAAATAAAATGTATAGAATTCATGTAAGTGGCAAAGCATTATTATTTATATATTAGAAAAGATTGCCTGTGTAAGTGATTTCTCTCATAAAGGAATAATTAAATATCTTCAAGAAAATTTATATTTAAGAATGTACTTTTTCTTTTCTTCTTAATCCCTGCCAAAATTTACTCCAGACATAGTTTTTTTTTCTGCATTAAGATGAGTCCCAAGGGACGGAGGGAGGAAAGGAGGGAGGGACAGAAAGTGGAAGGGATATTCTCAGCAGAGTGAATAGCCTGAAAATAGGCACTGAGTCAAGAAATCACCTGGCTATTTGGGAACATATAAGCAATTGTTATTGTGACTTCAGAATTGGGGACGGAGGTATAAAAGAGGAGAGCCGAGCAGGACCTCAGGAGGAGTCCTGGCATCCTCAGTGTGAAGGCCTTAGGGTCCGCACCTTACCACGCATGGCAGACTGCAGGAAAAGGGGTCTATCTTGAGAGACAGGAGGTGAGTTAGAGAAGAAAGCACTAGCTGATGAGGGACACAGGAAAGGGTTGCTGAGTAATAACAGAGGCCTCGGAAAAGACAATAGAGTGAATCTGGAAACACTTCATTCCAGCTAGGAGAAAGAAGGTGGTTAGGCAGGATCCGATGTGGGAGTAAGACTGGGAAGAAATCTCTTTTTCCTATGGCTTAATTTTAATGTAAAAAGAAGCCACTGGAAAACATCCCTTGATTTAATATGCATCTGAGAGGATAAGCACATGAGTGCTTCTGTCCCTCACCCTTCAGAAGCAAAAATACACAAGAACCGGGCACAGACCAGCTCTTCCACTACATCCAAAGACAGAGTCTTGCTTTTTAGGTGATTTCATAATGGGGTACAAGGTACAACCTGATTTACGCAGGTCCTCAGGTACTATCTAGCACTGACAATGAAAAGCACATCTTGTTCACCTCACTGAAAATAAAAAGGTATTTGATGTCATATTATTCCATTTGTTTCATGATATTTAATGAGTTATTGGTAAGGTTTATATGTGTATCCTTCAGTACGCTGAGCAACTTTGAGTGAAAAGACAAATTTCTGAAGATTCATTTTTTAACATACATCTGAACAATCATTTTACAATTAATAAAGGTCTAGCAAGTTCTTGATAATTTTGATTTTGATAGCCACATCTTCTTGAAAATTTCCTGTCTAATCCCTGAATGAGTATAGTAAGATTCTCCATGTATTTTAATGATTTCTAGATTCATACACTCATGGCTTATGCTAATAGCTTTTCTTGCTCTAACCACCAGTTGTTTGCTATAATTAACAGTGAGTGGTTTGTTATTCCTTTTAATCACTACCAGTGTCTGGGGCTGGGGATTTAGCTCGGTGGCACAGTGCCTGCCTGGCAAGTGCGAGGTCGTGAGTTCGATTCCCGATATCGGAAAAAAAAAAATCAAAAAAAAAAAAAAAAACCAAAACAACAATCACCACCAGTGTCAGTATGAAACGGAATACATATACCAAGAGATGTCAACAGCTTCTTTGCCTTTCAAACACAAAGAGAGTATGATATAGAGATGTTTTACTCCCTAAAACCAATTTTAAAAAGTTTTATAGTAAGATTTATAAATGGTTCATAGGAACACTTGAAGGAATTATGCTGCAATCAAAAATGCACCTCTTTGAATTACTAACCCCCCCCCCGGTACATTTACTTACACTCAAGAAAAATGCAGAAACCCCCTTAAAATAATTATACCATTGACTAAACTAAAGCATAGACAATAATGAAATTGAGTGTCATCCTTTTATCAGACTTTTAACAATCACAAATATGCTATAGACTTTTTAAGAGATGTTTAAAATATTGCTTCCAGAACGTACTACCCTTGCCTTAGCACTAATATGAATAAGAAGATCATAACAAAATGATGATGCATATTTTAAAGACATTTCTGTTCTATAAAGTCTACCCAAAACATCTGGAAAGCTGTTTACCATGTATGATACATTTCTTACCTCTTCCTACGGCATGTACAACAGAAGGGCCAAACCCTCGGATCTGAAATCCAAGTCCATCAGCTGAATCTGGGATTTTCACTGTCCTAAAATCAATCCAAAAACAGGGCAAGAATAACTGTAAATGCCACAGCTGGTTAAAATGACAGCCATCTACACTTTTGCTTGTTTGTTCAATAAAGACCTACTGAGGGCCTACTATATGAATGACACTAGGCAAGAAGCTCTTGGAGACAAACATGATCCTTACCCTTACTAAGGCACATAGCAGGCACATAATACAATTTCTAAATTGAACACAGTTACTGCCTAGTATATTCTTAAAAAGAAACTGGCTCTGGGGCAGACAAACAGTTTTGAACACTCAGTCAGTTTGAGTTCAGATAACCTGGGTAAGCTCCTTCACAGCTCCAGCACAGAAAGCTACATAAAAACTGTCCACAGAATGATAATGCTCATTTTCTAGGGTGCCAGTGGGGATGAAAAGAGACACTGTTGGTAAACTGCCCTGCATGGGGCTATGAGCTAGGTAGCTGCTTTATGAAATGGGAGCATCTCTCTTATGTTTACTATTACAAAAACCAGTGAGTATCTTACAAAAAATTTTATAAAGATTAATATGAAATAACCACAAAGTGAATACATTTCTACCTGGCGGGAACCTCATCACAGAGCACCATCAAAGAACAGAGTTGTCAAACCCTACATCAAAATAATCCAAGAATATAATTAACTGTGTATCTACACAGTGAGATTCTAAAAGAATGTCACATCAAAGAGTAAACCTGAAGAAGAAAAGGAACATTTCCAACGCACCCACACGGCAAAGAATGTGAGAATGTTCAATCTGTCACTAATAAATGCGATACTCTGGAGAAGGAGGCTGGAAATCAGACATCAACAAGTAAAGCGGAAAATGCTAGATCAGATGGAGCATCATAACAATAAAATGGAGTATAATAAATTCCAGTAGAGACCAAAACCAAGTAAATATAACATAATAAATTTTGATGGATCATTTTCGATGCCCCAGAAACAATAGTGTTTTCTAAGAAATGAATTAATTAGGAAATAAATGCTGGCAGGTCTTCCAGAGAAAGTCAGATGGAGACTGAAGTTAGCTATAGCTGTGAGGGGACAACGTGAGCAGGACTATGGCTTAGAACACTTGAGAAAAGCAATGACTGCCATTAAGCCTGAAAGCAGAGGCTGGTACTGCAAAATCAAATACAACTGAGGAAGACACTGTGATAAAAATGCAAATTATCTGCTCTAGGGAGATGTGAAAGCATTAGTATAAATCAGGTTATACACTAGGAAGCAATCTGTGTATTTGTGAGACAGAGGTCAGAGAATCAATACGTCCTCTATCCTTAATTAAACAGTTTTTAGTGTACAGGGATGTATCCATTTCCTTTGAATAGTACACCGTTATTAGTGTCTGACAGAGATACACAGTGATTTTTCATTTCACTTAAAATGAAAGAAAACTAAGAAAAAAGAGAATAAATACATATTATGGTGAGCACGAAACAGAAACACATAGTTCATATTTTTTATGTTATAGATAGAGAGTTCACTTTTGCTGAAATAATTTAAAGCTTTCAAGTACGGTGAATTAATGTTGCTTTCAGATTATGCATAATTCATTGTGGCCTTTCAACCCTTCCTGAATAGGTTCTTTCTATTTTACTAATAGTACTGTGTGCAGCTGACCTTGCTCTGATCTTCAAGAAGACTGTTATACTTTTCTTCACAAAAATTATTAAAAACACCACGAGATCCATTTGTGGGAAAATGTTGGATCTTCCCTAATAAGATAGTTCCTGGAGAGAATGTCTGCCCATTGGGAATACTATATTGCCTATTAACAGAAGAATTAAATTTACAGAAGGAATGTTTCACTTCCTGTGGAAAATAAGTATGCAAAAGTGTCTGCTACAAAGCCTTTTGAAAAACTTCTTGATGTTATTAAGGGTAAAATACTTGATGCTATTAAGTGTGAAAGAAAATTCTATGGTATTTACTTCTTGTAGTTTTCCTTCCAACAACAACACTATTTAAATTCAAGAAGATATTTAAGAAAATATGAGGACGCATGCAAAAACTTCCACGCAGTTCCTCCTGAGGTATAATGTTCCCAGGCTGAAGTGCAGATCCCACGCCCCCAAGATGGCCTTGGGATTCACAGATAGAAGAATATCAGTGGTTTAAGACAAAAGAAACTGATCAGAGAGAACAGTTATCTTCCCATTTCTACCTCAAAACGCTCCATTTTTTCTTTACGAGTGAGAAATAAATACTCTGTTAAGCTTTTGCATGTGATCTGTTTATACAAAGACACAAACGGCAAATTGTAGCTAATTCACTTTATCTGTGCTATGATGTCAGCAAATTTACACAGGAGAGAAACCCATGTTGTCACCTTTTATGTTCAAGTTAATGTATGGAATCATCAAGGCAAGGATGAGAAAAAAGCTACAAAAATTGGGAACACTTTATCACACAGGGACACCTCACTGAACCCGGAGAATAAAGTAAAACTTCATAAATGTTTTAATGTGTCAAAGCTGTCAACAAGTCTTCCAACTTTTATATATCAGAAACTTATAATGAGACTATCAATTTATAAATCTTGAATGTTATTTTTTAAGTAGAAATGTTAAATTTAGTATTGAAAATATTTTCAATGCACTTAGCTAAATATGAACGTATTAAATATGAATGATGATATTGCCAGCCAAGATACAATATTATCATTTTGAACATTTTTGCTTCTCATAACAGGATGGTGAGTTTTTACTGGCATTTAGTTGGGAGGTTAGGGACGCTGTTAAACATCAGAGAGAGAGAGAGAGAGAGGTGTGGAGCAGAGAGATAGTTTGGAGTACTGGTCAGAGAAATTTACATATACTAAGATAACAGGAAAAGGTATGGAGTACAATATTTTAAATAATATATTTAATGAACATAAATAGGCAAGATATGATTCATAATAGAGGAAGGACATACAGGAAGTGTTATAAATTTAAAAAACAAAAAAGAACAATTGAGTAAAAGTTTCTAAATACATGGAAAATATACTCTTCCTGTAATGAATCAATGGAATAAAATAATCAGAAAACAAGAGCACTGTATATGATATCACTAGATTATTTATTGTATGACAAGCGTTTCACTAAGTTCCTCACAAACCCAGCCCTATCTAGTGTCTTCCAGCTCCATGACACAGGCATCCTATGCCCATCCTTGAGATGAGGACGCTGAAGTGACAGTTAGCTGACAACTGGAAGGGGAGATGCATGACTCTCGGGTTCCAGACACTGCAGCGAACACTGAGGAAGGGTCAGAAGATATAGGTCTCGACTCTGTTCTCCAGGGATCTGTCCAGGACTGAGTATTCGCTCCTATTGCTTTATTTTTGAAGTTATCGGCCTCAGTCTTCTCACTGGGGGAATGTCCACATCAATGGACCAGTAGTTACAAGGTAAATCAGGGGGAATTGGGAGAACTTTTGAATTTACTAAGGTTTGCTCCAAAATAGGGCTCTCTTATTCCTTTCCAGTCTGTCCTCTCCCTTTTATCTGTCCTCAGAGTGCCAGGAGAGAGGCAACCAGGAAACCCTTATCCCAGACAGCATTAGTTAGAAAGGAGAGGAACGGATCATATTGAGGTTTTAGTGGGAAGACAGTGTTGGGGATTTTGCTGCCCTCCAGCCCAGTCTCCCTCAGTTCGTAATTAATTGATGAGTCATACTCACTCTCGCGGCCACTCAGTAAATTACTGGTAGGAACTAACACAACCATCCACCTTAATGACTTAACTTTGTTATGAAGAGACTTACTATGGAGAACACAGCTCATTAGATATGCTGTAACCCAATATAAGTCATTCTCAGTGCCACAGCTATTCCGGAAGACACATATCTACGCAGCTTTTTACACATACAAGTACATTTTATGTACTTTTTAAAAGTACATTTGAAAAGTACATTTTATACATTTATGATGCACTTATAATACTTTTCTAAATAGTTAATCTTTTCGTTTTGAAGTAATAACTCTCAACCTTCATTTATCTTAAAACTAAGAAAGATGCTTGTTGCTACTGATAAATGGGTTTAGGTAAATTTCAAACAGTAATTGTGATGTAATCTTAGTACCTTAAGACATTCCATTAAGAACTTTATATGCACCATCTGAATTAATTGGTGAAACACCCCATGACAAATCTGATCAGGGAATACAAGAGCTGTGCGAAAATGATTTGCAGAAGAAAGGCCACTGAATTGCAAGTCTAACAATAACATGTTTCCAACTGAAAAAACAACACAGAAAACACAGACAGCATAGTCTCAATGTATACGCTTTGTTGTATACACGTGCAGTAATAAAAAAGAAGTCAACTAACATTGAATTTCTAAAATATAACCATTACTTATAGGTGATAAGATTATAAGAACGATGTATCCTTTTGTACCCTTTAAATTTTCTATAGTAAACACAAAAATTTTTCTAATCATATGTAGACAGATTTTAGAGAGAGTGAAATAAATTTTAAAGGCATCATCATATTGTCAAGGACACACAAGTATTCAGTGTTTTTCAAGTTTAATGCCAATAATAAATTGTGTCAAATTAACTTCTAGTATTGGAAATTCTCACAGCTCAATATGTAGTTCTTTTTTCTCAAGTGTTCTACCAGTTTTCTCACTCAAGGTCAAACCCAGCACAGAAGAGGAAAATCTGGGTAGCAGAGGGAAGCATTATTTCTACTGAAACTATGAGATTCAAGGAGCAAACACCTTATCACTACAGCAGTGGAGCCTGGGGATTTAGCTCAGCAACACAGCACCTGCCTGGCAAGTGCAAGGTCGTGAGTTCGATTTCCAGTACCGGAAGAAAAAAACAAAACAAAACAAAACAAAAAAAACCTGTAAGCAATGGAGTTCTTGTTATCACCTAAAAACTGGTATTTGTGATGCTGGTGTGGCTTCAGTGGTAACTTCATTAACTTTTGTACTTCATTCATCCATGTGTAACTTTTTAAAAAAATCCCATAAAAGCCATACAACTTACTCCCTTGGCTTTGTGCTAACGAGAACTCTCAGAGGCTTTCTGCTGTTTAAGCATGACTTCAGGAAGCAATCCACTTCACTGAAAGGTCTCATAAAAACTAGGTCACCATTAATGGCAAAAATCTTCTTCCCAACTTCCATGCCAGCCATCTAAGAAAGAAACAAAAAAATAATTCAAATGATCATTGAAGAAAGAATCTAAGTTTTTCACAAAATTAGGATCCGAAAAAGTTTAGAGCTTATAGATTTTGACATTTCAAGGACATCTGCAATGTTTTTATATAAATCCATATAGCAGAACTATGAATGAAATGACACAGTTCTTACTCTCCTTGGCCTAGTTTCAGATTTGATTACACAGCTTTACGGAAATTCTCTCCACTTCCTCTTTCACTTGACATTGTTTGTATTCTTCCTAGAATTTTTTCTTTTGTTGTTGTAGCTTTCAACCCCTGCACATACATGCGGTATGATCAAAATATACAGTGAATGTTTAAATTTTAAAATATTTACTATAGTAAAAAATACATTACCTATAATCCTCTGAAAACACTCTCCGGCATTTCAAACACACTTGTCCCACTATTCTTGACGCTTTCTGAAGCAGTTCGGGAAGTTCTCTTTCACAGGTAACTTTAACTACAAACGTCATGGCAGCCTGAATGTCCTGAGTCACTTCAAAATATTCATTTTTCATGGTCATTTTGACTTTGAGGAAGAGCCAGATGTCATATGGTGCCAGATCCATCCAGTGAATAAGGCCATAACACTATGTTTTACTAGCCTGTCCTTTTTTTGGTTGGCACTTGGCAGAAATACTCATTATATTTTGATCACATGTCACGAATACTTTCCCCTTTGGTACTGGAGAGTGAACTCATGGTCTTTGCACTGAACTACATCTCTACCCGCTTGTTTTGAGACAGGGTCTGGCTAGGTTGCTAAAGTGCCTGTGCTCCTAGACTGCTGGGATTTCAGGTGTGCACCACCACACCCAACTCTGGACTCTATTTTTATCTTTTGTGGCAGTACTAGGGAACTAACCAAGGGTCTACATTTAACTATATCTCCAGTCCTTTTTATTTTTTATTTGGAGACAGGGTCTCACTAACATGTCCTGTAGGACTCACACCTATGATTCTCCTGTCTCAGTCTCCCTCAGTGCTAGATTACAGACACGCACCATGTCACCCAGCTCAGACTGGTTTTTTAACCAGCCTGACTCCCTATAAACTCCCTGTCTTCTGGCTGCCAGCTAAACGATGAACCCAGGGAGAGGACATTTTTATCAGTCACATAGCAGCCTGAAGATATGCTCTAAGAAGATCTTTTGAAAATTCCTGAGAGAAACATCTGCTCTTAGAAAATTACTACCTACGGTCATTTATGGACCAGATCCACTAACAGAATATGAGTCAAGAAGAGTTATTTTGAGTGTACTCTTCAAGCTTTGTCTTGCATAAATGTATGTTTTAGTAAAAGACAGAGACCTTGGGCATTAATAGGAGGATGGATGACAATTTACCATGAACTCTAAAGAGATTCAAAAGTTCTCCCATTTATTAAATATATGAATACTGAGCTGTTTATCTCAGCATTAACTATTCTGCAAGTCAGAGAGCAACACAATGATACTTTAGACCTGACAGGGAATACAGCACTGAAAAGTAGATTCCATTAGGTTAGGGAATTTTGTCTATTTTGCTTTTTGCGCTATTCCAAGAGTCCAAAACACTGCTTAGCATAAACTGCAATTAAATGACGATTTTGAATGAATGAGTGAGTGATCAGGAGATTCTTCTGTTTAAAAGCCCTGTGAAGGGAGACAAGGTCAACCAGTACTAATCCAGTGAGACACTAAGTCAAAATGTACGTTTAACTAGTGGAAGTAACAATCATAGAAAAGACAGACACTAGGAAAATAGCCCTTGACTGAATAGAAGAACAGCATGACATGCACAGTACAGTGAGTTACATCCCAGACAGCCCCTACAGGGTTCCAGTTGGAATTTGTGGCCAAGGAGGTCCCATGAACAAAGGCTGAGCCACAAAAAGTTCACAGCTGTAGAACTCTGAATAGTACCCTCTCCCCAGTTACCCTTGAGTCCCAACAAAGGAGTGGCTGCCACAAATTCCAAGGGTATCTGGTAATACTCAAAGTAAAATTATCCAGAGATATGTCCTCAATAAAGATATTCAGCAGTTGATTTCAGTTATTTTGCAACTTTTACATTGGTATATCTTGACAATAAATTTGAAAAAAGGCTAATCTGCATTACCTCAGCATTCGACCCCCTTTCTACCAACTTTATTATTGGAACTTTATTTTTGTCTTCTAGCCCAAAGCCATAGCTGCCTTCATTAGATTTAATCTGAAAAGAAAAACATGAATATTATTGACAAAGCAATTATGAAAAAGTTACAAATAAAGGGTCAGGGATATAGCTCAGTGGCATAAGCACCTGCCTGGCAAGTGCAAAGTCCTCAGTTCAATTCCTGGTACCAAATAAATAAATAAATAAATAAATAAAACCAGATAAAATAAAGTAATATTCGTCACCACAAGATATACAGTCTCCTCTTAATGTCTAGTCAAGAAGAAAACTCATATAATAAATTAACAAACTTACCAGGAGGGACTTAGCTATAACATTTTCCACAACCTTTAGATCATGTTTCATGAGTCGATGCTTCATATTTGACCCTTCCATTTCTTCATCCGCGAAAAAACGGAAAAGTAGGGGTTCATCTTTAAATTCACTTTTTTCAAGGACTACACAAAGAGATTCAAATTGTTTCAGTTAAATTGAAAATCAAATTCATTTTCCATGCCAGCAGACATAAATCGCTGGCCATAATCTCAATTTTGTACTCTTAGGACATTTATTTCTATAATTTCTAAACAGTAAATCCTTTAAAATACTGTTACCTAACAGGTTTTGGATTTTTAAACAAATAGTATTTTCTAATGACAATTTTTCTGTACTTAAACAAGTTTCTCATTGTCCAGATTAAAACCAAAATTTAAGTAAAAGATTATAATGTATCCTAAAATGCATGCAATCTTAACATAAAACCCTACCATGTTTTCAACTTGCAGTGAAAACTTTAATCATGTTTTTAATACCTGCACAATTACAGGAAGTTCAAATAAGTTAAATGTTATCCTTCTAGAATATGTGAGCAATTCCCACTGGGATTACTTTGGCTCTAACACACCAAACCAGGAATATGCCTTCTAGTGAAATGTGATCTTTAGTTTGCATGAACTCCTATTTCTTTTCTGTTTACAAGCAATATTCTCAGGGACTGGGAATTTAGCTCAGTGGCACAGCGCCTGCCTGGCAAGGATAAGGTCATGAGATCGATTCCTGGTACTGGAAAAAAAAAAAAAAAAACGAAAAACAACAACAACAAAAATAAAAGCAGTATTTTCAAACAATGTTATTTCTACCAAGGTCTTTTTCTTCTCTTTATCTGAACATTAATATTTTTCTTAAAATCCCTTAAGATTCCTGGCATTCACTGATGACACCAGGTTTATGGTTTGTTTGTCTAGTTCAAGCTAAGGTTAAATACAGATAGGAAGAACTTATATTGAATGAGATTTGGGCAGCTGTCAAAATGCGTCACAAGGGCAATCTTCTCTATTTCTAATTCCCACGTCCTTAGCATCTAGAAGGGCGCTTGTTGGGATAGGTTGATTCACGCAGCTAAGAGCTGAAAAAAAAACAGTGATTCCGGGGCATAGCAGAAGCAGTCAGGCCAGGTCTGAGGCTGATTCTGGGTGTGACAATGACACAGTTACTTAAACTCTCTGAACTTCAATTTCTCATCTACAAAAAGAGGGCAATAAAACCTTCATAATGTTGCATTAAATTAAAATGAGGTAAGACGTACAAATAACTTGGATATGGTAACTAATCAAAAATTACAGCTATTTTATTTCATTAGTTTTATAGAATTCCAGCAAATAATTGTTGACCAGACAGATGGACTGGTTGGCAGCATGAGTTATCCAATGCATCTATCAATTTCAAAGGAAAAGGAAAAACGAGCCAATAACTGACAAATAAAAAGAAAATGAGAATGTGCTTTGGTTTGACTTGCCTCACGTAAAGGATCTAAGCACTTTCCCAAGCTCACAGGATGCTTCTGCTACACCTGTTTTCCTCCTCTGAACAATCAATCAAAGGAGTTAGAAGAGGGCATCAAAAAAGCCAGGCAGGAACCAATGGGTTGTGTTTTACCGACAGACTTTTGTAGGGGTAATTTTTATCGTTACTCAATTTTTATAATAAATGCTTACATAAAATTATTACTCATTGATGCTGTATGTTAAACAGAAAAATGGCTGAAGATTTGAGGGTTTTCAGCTTGACGTTAGTTTTAATACCCTAAAATTCTTCCATTTCTTCCATTCAGGAGTTTTTTCTTCAGGGGTGGATATTTTCTGATCACATAGCAGTCTAGACAGAGTGAGATGGTACAGAATTCCCCAAGAAATGTACGACAGCCAAGGATGCTTTCAAACTGTTGTAGTTTTTGCTCTACTTTCTTTCAAAATGAAGGAACACTAATCTTCTGAAAGTAATTGACAATTAGATACAAATGTATATTTATAAGCATTGAAAAATGTTTTGGTTTATGGACTCTGTAAGATGCTATGAGTACAGAGGGATAAACCACTGCATGTCTCTTTGATAAATTCAATAACTGTATTGCAAAAACAAAACAAAACAAATGAAAACTCCCACTTGATGATTTACTCAAAGTAATCAAAGAAAAGAGAGAACTGACTTCTAATGGTTAAAAAATTATTTTTCCAGAGTTTATAATTTAATTCTCTAAGGTAATTTCTGAAAATATTTTCCTAAAATGAACAATCAATATTCAGCCACATATGTTGATTGAATCATCTACTACAAACTGTCATTCAAAAAACCACGAGTGTAGTCTGAAATCAGTTCAAAGAGGCACACGAATTTTTTCAGAAACAAAACTTCTCGCTCAAGCCACTACTCTTCTGAAATCAACATAGTCTAGGATCTAAGAGAAGTCGGAGCAACAGGTAAAACTGCAATGAAATCAACTGCAGGTAATTAGTAAGGACCGATGGTAAGACCCACACAGTCTTGCTGGCTCCTCTGGACGTCACTGGAGCACCAAGATATTCCCAAGTCCTAAGAAGAACCCCAACAATGAAATACATCAATCCCTACCATGGTGCATAAATCCACTGTCACACAGACCCATGCCAAGTATCATCGCCTCTTCTCTAGTGCGGCAATCCCCCTGTTAACCAAAAAGCACTACGTCAGTTTATAGGGAACAGAAGACCTGCTGCATTTTTTTTTCACTTGTTAAGGAAATTACATATTTATATAATATTTCAAGGATAACTTGTTACGGTTTAATACATCAACATAATGTCAAAACAACACATTGTAATTCTATTATCCATACCACACATTAACATGGTCTCTCTGTGTTTGGGGTGTGTTTATTTTGTTTTTTGGTACTGAGCATTGAACCCAGGACCTTGGCATCATACTGCATCCCCAGACCTTTTCAAATTTTTTTTTAAATGTGAGACAGGATCTCACTGAGTCACTAAATTACAGTCTGAGCTTGAACTTGTGATCCTCCTGCCTCAGCCTCTCAAAGTGCTAGGCAACTGGCATGTATCACTGCCTTCTATTTGCTGCATCTTTAATACATCTGTCCTTTTCAACACTATATTTAAACAAAGCTATTCTTATATAAGAGCATCAATTGCTACATAAGACAGCATGCACCTAATTCTTGAAAGGAATTACATACACTAATGAAAACATTCACTTAATATGAAAACATCACCTGCAAAATACTTCATATTTCTTGAGAAAAAACATTTTATTAAATATGAAAATATATCACTAAAAAAAAATTGTCTTTGTCTTTTTGAGACAGGGTCTTGCTCTGCAGTTCAGGTTGGCCTTAAACTCACTTTGTAGCCTAGGATCTCATAGCGATCTTCCTGCCTCAGCCTCCCAACTGCTGAGATTACAGGCCTGCACCACCATGCCCAGCTAGAAAAATATTCTTGCTATTTTAAATTAACCCTTCCGGGCATTTCTTAGGTTTTATATTCCAGTTATGAAACAGGAAAATAACCTGTAAATTGATAACACAGTGAATTAAGGTAAGTAAAAATCATGGTACTTGATCTGGGCCACTCACCACTCTCCCTTCCCACCAAATGTTCTTGCTCTTGAGGGGTGCCTGGAGCAACCTATCAATCTGCCGTGACTTCTAAGACCTTAACATTAAACTATTTTGCTGAGCCAGCAAATGCAAGCTTTTCTTTCATTATTTTGTTAAAAAAAAAAAAAAAATAAGCAGACTGTGCCACTGAACCCAACAAAATAGCCCAAAGCAGGTCTTTCAAGTGGTTTTGATCTAGAAAACACCTATTTCATTAACATAAGTACAGATCCATGTACCCACATGAACATGTATATATCTCTGTATGTGTATAGTATCTCAAAGTTCTACATTTTACAGTTTAAGAAGGTTTTTTTTTAACATAGCATCTCATTTTTTCCTAGTCCTATTTTTTAGTACTTGGGTACTCTTGTCAATGCTCTAATCTGTTTTATAAATTACCTAAATTACCAAATTTTTCCTGTACTCTCTGTACCATATGAATTACAGAATTAGATTTTCTTACATAGCAGTTGCATCTTCAAAAACTATAGAGATCCTATTTTTAAAGAAATCATAGTATAACAAAATATTCTTGCAAAACCATCCTTATCTTCGTTTCATCCTCCCTCTCCAGCCTCACCTTCCAAGCTTAAAACTCAGACCTTTTGCTCTCGTCCACAGTCAGCTGTTGCTTGAACACTGTCATTGTCATCACTGCAGTCCCTCAAGTAATTTTCATATGTATAGTGCTGGTGTCTCTACCCTCCACGCATTTAAATTCTACCTATCTGTCTACAAACCACCAAAAGAAGTTCCAGCACACACTGTGAAAACTACAACCCTAGTAACTCCCCAAATACTTATTACCTGCAGCTTGAGACGGTGCATCATGCCCTCTTCAAATATCTAGCTGTTTTGTAATTTTATGTATTCATTCAAACCATATTTATGTTTTCTACATATGATGGTAAATACTAGAGATCAAATATTAGAACATTCAAACATAAAACATTTTTCTTCTTTCTATTATTTTGAATCTAGTAAAGGAATTTTGTCACTTAAAATGTCCATAATATCATTACCTATCTTACTCAATATTCCCAGTGGGGCAAATATAACCAGAGAAGGAGGACCGTAGAAGACCCTGAACCTAGAGTTGTGAAACTTGTAAGGCTTCCTGGGGAGATGACGCTTAAGCAGGATTTTGGAGAAAATAAAAAAAAATTAGGCCAACTGACTAGCAGTCCCTTGAAGGCAGAAAACACACCTGCTTCCGGTTTTGTTGCTTTGTTTTATTTTAACCATCAAAGCAATTGTTTAAATATTAAGCTTATCATAAGAGCTTGCTCAGTACTTGTTGACATTTGATTGTTTTGATTATTCAAATGTTACACTGTACAGATTAACATTATAAAGACATGTTAAAAACTGTGACCTCAAATTTATTATCCCTGTGTCTTTTAAATTCTTATTGGTGCCACATAGATTTGGTGAGACTGAAAAAAAAGCCCAACCAAAACTGGTTGGGTGGAATAAAACAAGATGCCACTAAATTATAAAGTATAAAGGATATATATATATAAATCACAGCTTATACAAATTAAGTGATGTTTAGAAGGATAGTTGTACTGGTCCAAGGAGGAATTAATTTCATGGATCAAGTTATTTTATTACAAACCATTGTACTAGAAGTAGCGCAAGAGCCAGTGAAAAATGTATAATGAAGAAAATAAGTCATTGCATTTTTCAAGATGACATCGCCCAATACATTAAAAAAACTGCAAGACCTAAACCATACCCCAAAACAACAATATAGACCATTAGACTGGAGCCAGATCTTTACTCTCGTCCTGTAACTCTATCTAAATCAATTGAGTTAATACTGGTTAATACTGAAAATTAAGAATCATTTGAGATTCATGTGGCGAAGAGAGCATTACTTTATTAAAATCTATCCTTCATATTACATTAAGTTCTTTAATTTGCTATCTTATCATCCACTGCTGTGTCTTCCTCTTCCAAGGCAGCCCATGCTGTTCTAATTTGAAGGTAAATGGTAAGAATTGAGTATGTCTGATACCTAATCCGGATAAATTGTATAACAGTCATAAAGTTTCAATGGTAGATAAAAGATAGCATGTACAGCTGCTGCAAGAGAGATGGGCTTATTTGCCTAAGTTTGCATAACTAGTTATTAGCAGAGGTGGCAGCTGATACTAGGTTACTTGAAACTCAGTCAAGTGCATTTACTACCACATACAATTTTTACAGGCATTGTCCTAAGAAACCACTAAGAAAAAATGAAGAAAAGAAAATTCCAAGTTGGACAAGTTGTTGTGCAACTTATTCTATTCTTCTACTGGTTACCCTTGGAAAATGAAAGTACAAAAGAAAATTGATTACTAACTTTCAGAGTTAGAATTTAAATGTTTATTCAGCACCAGCTTTTACCGCAAATAAATTTTCTCCAAATTTCTTACATAATCAATATGTCACACAATACAATTCTACAGTAGAACAATCCCTGTATGAAATACCAGCTCTGACACTGAATACAGAACTGATTCCACTGACATGTGATGACCAAAGTATTATAAAAGTTTCATACATTAGTAAAGCCACTGAGTACATGAATTAGGGATTTTCCTCAGAGTAAATGGTTTCATTTAAAACAGTAACTTATAAGTGTAAAAATTTAGGTTCCACAAAATACAAAAATAAAAGGTCTTGAGCAGTCTAGAATTAATACTAAAAAACAAAAACTTCAAACTATATGTGAATAGACAACTCAAATAGGGATTAAATATTAATAAAGTATTTTAGGATGAAATATCAAATTATGTACTTGTAACAAAGTACAAGTGCACTTCTTTAAAAACAAGGATAAAACTGCTTAAGAAACTGATTTAAATATCCAAGTGGAATGATTTATATCTCAACCAAGCAATAGCCTCTCCTCCAAACGGTATGTTTAGTTAAAGTGGTTATCAGCTTTTAGCTTTTTCTTTAATCAGTGGAATGTACTCATTCATTTGTTAGTTTACCTAGTAGAGGACAATACCTCAGTAAGTTTCTATTTGGGTAGCTACCATAATGAACTACATATTTTACTTTGTTTTACTTATAAAGAACTTACATTTTCTCAATACCAGTTGTCAGAATCATATCCGAAGGACAACAAGAATACCAATAATGAAATCTGCACCTCCCTACTTAAAGTATATATTAAAGCTCATATCATCAAAGCAGAATTGCTATCTAACAGGGAAAAAAAGGCACAGGAAGATTTTAATCGTTTTCAAGGACTAATGAACAGATATTTTAAAACAAGTAAGTGAATGCAAAAAAAATTTAGTGTCTGAACATAGTAATTCTTCAGTGATACTCAAATTATGCTTAGTGTTTTTGGCAAATCTCAGTTATTTTAAAAATAAAAATATCCTAGTTTTCGAAGACAAGATACAAAAAGTTAGTTTTAGGACTCTGGAATTAGACACCCTAAATTCAATCCTAACTCTGCATGAGCCTGGGAAAATTACTTCACTGTGTTTCACCCTTAAGATGTCAAGGGAGGGGTGCCTAACTCACATGCACATACTCAGAGTTTAAGCAGCAGTGAATACAATTCACAACTTGTCTATTTACCTGTGCAATTAACCAGTCTATCAGTTTGTTGGCCATGACCACAGATTTGTAGGTTCTTAAATGGTAATCTTTATCTCTATAAACAAAACAGAAATTTAAACAATGTTATACAGAGTACATGTGGGCACAAGAAAATATTTTCATTTAGTGCCAATGTGTGCAAATGCTGTAGTTTGTGAAGCACTCACAACACCTGAAAAAATACTGCATCAGTTCAACCACACTAAAACGGGATACCTCCTCTTTGTTTCCTGTATACAAAGACTGCTATGCCTGGAAATAATTTAAACAGAAGTACAATATCTTATTAATAAAAGAATAAAACATAAAACATACTTTTATCCCTTAAATTGTGTCAGATTGTGCTAAAAAAAAAAAAAAAAAAAGAAAACAAAACTCAAAA